AAGGTCTCCCTCGCGGAAAGGACATGGAAGTCGACGTTGGTTAGCTTGCTGCTGCATGTGGACCTGAGCCTTTTGCATATTCGCGCGGACTTTGATCAGCAAGTCCCGATACTTCCTGACAGAAGCGGGAGAGCAAGGGACGTCTATGTCGGTAACCTGTGGCAAAAGGAGATCAGCGAAGATCCGTGCTTTTTCTCCACCATGATGTAGCTCGAATGGTGTGACGCAGATCGCCGGGTGCACCGAAGTGTTGTAGGCGAACTCGATGTCGGGAAGCCGGTCAACCCAATCTTTCTGGTCGGGACGGATGAGCGTACGCAACATCATCTGAGCGGTCTGGTGCGGTCGCTCCGTCTAACCATCCGTCTGCGGGTGGTGAGCCGAGCTCGACTTTATTGTCGTGCCGGACTCCGTCATGAGAGAAGTCCAAAAGGCTGACATGAAGCGAGTGTCTCGGTCGCTCACTATGTCTTCCGGAACACCTTGGTTGGTAATCCAACCGGTGTGCAAGAGTCGTGCGAGATGTGGCGCTGCAGCATGATACTTGCAAGGAAGAAAACGAGCATACTTACTCAAACGGTCAACGACCGTGAGAATGCCGTCATGGCCGTGGCGATCGCGGGGAAACGGGCCTGTCACGTCCATAGCAATGGAGAGGCGTGGTGCCCAAGGGATCGGTAACGGTTTCAGTTCGCCGAAGGGAACTCGAGCTCGACCCTTGTTACGGTGGCAAACTGCACATGACTCAATGTACCTTGTGACGTCGTGAAGAACGTCGGGCCAGTGAAAACGCTGGCGGAGGCGTGCTAGTGTGCGGTTCACGCCAAGGTGTGCTGAAAGTCGTGCATCGTGGAATTCGCCGAGAAGACRAGTCCGTAAGATACGATCTTGGGGCACACTTAACAAGTCCGTTCCTCTCGTGTGAAGGAGAAGGAACCCGTCGGAAATCCGGTAATGGCTAGCCGGCGGGTGATCCGATGAAAGCTCCGCATAAAGCGTAGAGTACGTCGGATCGGACTTGTAGCCTTTGACGAAATGCTGCTACAGATCGTTATCGAGGTCGAATGCCGTGGTCACAATGGCGCAAAAGTTTGGCCGTCGTGAGAGGGCGTCCGCCGCTCGATTGGCGGGACCGGGAATGTGACACGGGTCAAAATCGAACTGGTCGATGTAATACATCCATCGAACGATCGTATTTGTGACCGTGTCCTGCGTTTTGTAAAATGTCAACGGATTGTTATCCGTATTCCATTTAAAACGCCGACGGCCGAGAAGAAAGTGACGCCACCATTTGAGGACGGTGACGAACGCGAGTAGCTCTTTCTTCCTAACGTCATCAAGAGTGTTGACGAGAGGCACCTTCTGGGAGAAGTACTCAACCGGATGCCAACCGTCCTCGTGACACTGTTCCAACACCGCACCAATACCATATCCCGAAGCATCCGTAGTCACTTGGGTGGGTAGGGTGGGGTCATATATACGGAGGGCAGGTGCGGCTTGCAT